AGACAGAGTCCAAGTAGATGCATAAATGGAATACTAACCATGGAAAGTAATAACACAAGTGATATAGTAACATTGTTATTACTTGAATTGCCATTATTTCATAAAGTACTGCACATTTAGCAGCTGTTTATTGTAGGTTAGTTAAATGCCAAGCCTAACGAACAGCTCTGTAAAATACGAGGAGCAAACACTTATACCATTCGTGTGAGCTCCTACATTAATATCTCATGACCGCTCTGAGTGCTTGTTTTGAGTGGTCTGGTTTTGATATGGAAGCACATCGTGCAAACAATAAGATATTTTATAGTGGTGGACAACACCTAATGTTCCCATTGAAGAGAAATGTGGCCTTTTGCATGGATGTAATAAAAAAAGCATTCTTCTTTCAACACTTAATTTTGCCGGTGTTCACAGTCACACAAATACATATTTTGCTCCTCTTGGCAACAGGCAAATAAACATTTACGTAACTTAGCAGACGGTCTTATCCAGAGCGACTTACAGTTAGTGAGTGCATACATTATTTTTATTTATTTTTCTTCATACTGGCCCCCCATGGGAATCGAACCCACAACCGTGGCGTTGCAAACGCCATACTCTACCAACTGAGCTACCTCCCTGCCAGCCATTCCCTCCCCTACCCTGGACGACGCTGGGCCAATTGTGCGCCGCCCCATGGGTCTCCCGGTCGCGGCCGGCTACGACAGAGCCTGGATTCAAACCAGGATCTCTAGTGGCACAGCTAGCACTGCGATGCAGTGCCTTAGACCACTCTCACATGTTTTCTTAGCTTGTCAGGTCAGGTGTAATATCTTTTCACAGGGAGATTTAGAGGGTAATTAACTGTGGTGTCTGACCAACATATTAAGGTTTTAAACACTTTTCCTATACATTTATTCTAAAGCAGCATATAGATGGGTATCAACACTGTCCTATTCAATGAAATAAAAATGCACTCTAAACAAAAACCACAAACACAATTCCAAGTGTCAAATGGGTTTTCGGAGGGGGAAAAATACTTTTAAAAAAACGTTCCATTGGGAAGTGCACAATTTCACTCCCCAAACTATCTATCACCATCATATTCCCCAGAAGAAAGAGAAAATCACAGAAAATATTTCCCATAGGACTGCAGTTGTTACTTTTAATTCAGCCACAATGTGATGGAGGCTGAGAGAGAGTCATGAAAGAGAGTCGTTAGAGAGCTGAATGTGTTTTTCACCACACCCAGAGAGCTGGCTGTTTCGGGCGAGGTGCAAGGTGTTGTGGGAATACAGAGGCCCAGCTGCACTTTGCAGATACATACCACTGTGCTTTCATGCCCACACCCGTCAAAATGGCCCTGTCAGCTGCCTATCTCAAGGGACCTGGTTTTGCACTACAGGGGGATTATAGCTTTTTTTATGAAGCAGCTTCATGACCAATGGTGTCTGGCAATTCCAGTCGGTTGCCGTTTTACAACAACAAAAGATGGGCTTACATGGTGGTATATGCGATAGCTAATTACATGGATTTGAATTTTTTATAAGCAATTTAGAGATGTAATTGAAGTACCCATGGATACACACAGTAATGATTACAAATGTTTATTTGAACTTCTTTTCACAACAATGTTGCAGCGGATCCCCACCAGCGTTGCTTCAAAAAAAATGTACACCCTCTTTATGCCATATCAGTGGATATCTGCAGAGAATCCTATCCTAAGCTGTGACAACAGCTCCAAATGTGAGCTCACAAACTGTGATAATTTTAATCCCTGTGGCCCGGGTGTGCTAAGTGGCATGCTGGAGAGCCACATTTGTTACATCCCTATCTGACTGGCTGCTGTTAGGATGACTGACTCATCCACTATCACAGGACTTGAAGATTTTATGAAAAAAAGCTTTATTTACATCCATCTCAGGACTTCATGGTGCGCTTGGCGACAGATCACACACCCTTAATCTCAGCTGATTCAGAGGCCTGTCACTAGGGATAGAGTGTGCTCTGTCAGATAAGGTCTAATTCTTCTCTTTTAGTAGTAGCAGTCCTAAAACCTCCACACGCTATTTCTATGCCATGGGCTGGCAGTCTCACTGTAGATCACAGACATATACAGTAAAACAGGGAATAGTCCTTTTAAAGTCAATCCCATAGGCGACCATCAATGCAGATCAGGTAAAAGTGCAGTGATTTACAGATGTGCCAGATTTGATGATGAAGTGGGAAAATAATGTGTAGTGAGTTGTCTTGTTTTCTATAAGTCTCAATATCCTTTTTTACACTGAACATACTGTAGCCTCCTTCAAGACTACTGTCCACTGACTTATCAGGTGATATATCTGGCCATAGTTTGTCACTTGGTAAGTCTGACTGATGTTAACTGGGATCTTCCGTGGAGGTTTAATGTTGTGTGAAAGTTGATGATGAGTCCTGATCAATGATATACAGTGCCTTCAGAAAGTATTCACACCCCTTGACTTTTTCAACATTTTGTTGTGTTACAGCCTGAATATAAAATTTATTAAATTTAGATTTTGTGTCACTGGCCTACACACAATACCCCATAATGTCAAATAGGAATGATGTTTTTCGAATTTCTTACAAATTAATTAAAAATGAAAAGCTGAAATGTCTTGAGTCAATAAGTATTCAACCCCTTTGTTCTGGCAAGCCTAAATAAGTTCAGCAGTAAGGATTTGCTTAACAAGTCACATAATAAGTTGCATGGACTCACTCTGTGTGCAATAATAGTGTTTAACATGATTTTTGAATGACTACCTTGTCTCTGTAACCCACACATACAATTATCTGTAAGGTCCCTCAGTCGAGCAGTGACTTTCAAACACAGATTCAACCAAAAAGACGAGGGAGGTTTGCCTATGCTTCGCAAAGAAGGGCACCTGTTGGTAGATGGGTAAAAAAAAAAAAAGACATTGAATATGCCTTTGAGCATGGTGAAGTTCTTAATTACACTTTGGATGGTGTATCAATACAAACAGTCACTACAAAGATACATGCGTCCTTCCGAACTCAGTTGCCGGAGAGGAAGGAAACCGCTCAGGGATTTCACCATGAGGCCAATGGTGACTTTAAAACAGTTACAGAGTTTAATGGCTGTGACAGGAGAAAACTGAGGATGGGTCAACATCATTGTAGTTACTCTACAATACTAACCTAAATGACAGAGTGAAATGAAGGAAGCCTTTACAGAATAAAAACATTGCAAAACATGCATCCTGTTTGCAATAAGGCACTAAAGTAAAACTGCAAAAAATGTGGCAAAGAAATTAACTTTATGTCCTGAATACAAAGCATTATGTTTGGGGCAAATCCAACACATCACTGAGTACCATTCTTCATATTTTCAAACATGGTGGTGGCTGCATCATGTTATGGGTATGCTTGTCATCGGCAAGGGAGTTTTTTATGATAAAAAACAAACAAAATAGAGCTAAGCACAGGCAAAATCCTAGTGGAAATCCTGGTTCAGTCTGCTTTCCAACAGAAGCTGGACTATAACTTAAAACCCAAGGCCAAATATACACTGAGTGTACAAAACATTAGGAACACCTTCCTACTATTGAGTTGCACCCCCTTTTGCCCTCAGAACAGCCTCAATTCGTCAGGGCATGGACTCTACAAGGTGTTGAAAGCATTCCATAGGGATGCTGGCCCATGTTGGCTCCAATGCGTCCCACTGTTGTGTCAAGTTGGCTGGATGTCCTTTGGGTGGTGGCCCATTCTTGATACACACGGAAAACTGTTGAGCGTGAAAAACCCAGCAGTGTTGCAGTTCTTGACACACTCAAACTAGTGCGACTGTCACCTACTACCACATCCCGTTCAAAGTCACTTAAATATTTTGTCTTGGCCTTTCACCCTCTGAATGGCACACATACACCATCCAGGCGGCAGGTAGCTTAGTGGTTAAGAGTGTTGTGCCAGTAACCGAAAGGTCGCTGGTTCCAATCCCCGAGCCGACTAGGTGAAAATTCTGTCGATGTGCCCTTGAGCAAGGCACTTAACCCTAATTGCTCCTGTAAATCGCTCTGGACTAAAATGTAAATGTAATCCATGTCTCAATTGTCTCAAGGCTTAAAAATCCTTCTTTAACCTGCCTTCTCCCCTTCATCTACACTGATTGAAATGGATTTAACAAGTGACATCAATAAGGCATCATAGCTTTCACCTGGTCAGTCTGTCATGGAAAGAACAGGTGTTCCTAATGTTTTGTACACTCCGTACAAAATTGGAGTTGATTACCAAGAAGAGACTGAATGTTCTTAAGTGGCCTAGTAACAGTTTTGGACTTAAATCGGCTTGAAAATCTATGGCAAGACTTGAAAATGACTGTCTAGCAATAATCAACAAGCAACTTGACAAAGCTTGAATAATTGTTTAATGAATAATGTGCAAAAATTGCAGGTGTGCAAAGTTCTTAGAGACTTACCCAGAAAGACTCACAGCAGTAATTGCTGCCAAAGGTGATTCTAACATGTACTGACTCAGGGGTGTGAATACTTATGTCAATGAGATATTTTCTGTATTTCATTTTCAATACATTTGCAAACATTTCTAAAAACATATTTTCACTTTTTCATTATGGGGTATTTTGTGTAGATTGGTGAGGATAAAAAAAATAAAAAATTCAATTCAGGCTGTAACAACAAAATGTTGAATACGTGAAGGGGTATGAAAACTTTCTGAAGGCGCTGTCCATTTTTGTCGTGCTGCTCTCCATGGTGCTGATCTCTGTTTTAGCTGGTGTGCTAAGTATGCCACCCAGTGGCTCCTATGTGGAATGAGGCTACTGTATCTCTCAGGTGACTGCTATTGTGTCATTACTTGTTAAATATAAACATTTATTCTTGATGAACACGGTATCCTGTCAAATGTTTTATTATACTATTATTCAGTAGTATTCCTGGTGCATGGTAGTTCTCTGATTGCGTAGACAGAACTATTGAGGCCGGAACTATTGTGGCTTGAACCTTTGCTTCAGATCGGTGTACAGTGCCAGTAACACTTCACATGATGCTAGCTAGTTCGCTGTGGGGATCGCCTACATTTCGTGAGTGTATTTCTTGTGTTGTTTCGTTATTTTATGACATCACATACGTTTTTCTAGAGACTGCATCTATGTAGTTTGAACATACCAGTTATTAATTTGTTTCATATAACGCACGACTAACGTTACTAGCTAGATAGCTAATAAATGCAGCTAGCCGGCTATTTGACTAGCATTAATGCTAACGTTAGCTAGCTAGCATCTGTAGCAGTCCAAATTAAGCCAAAAGCAGTAGCTAGCTAGCTAGCAAGCTTCATCGTATGTCCGACCGTAACTACGAGAGTAAGCAATTAGACATTGTTGCAACACATTTTTTGCAGTCAGATGTGCAGTTGACAGTAGTGAGGTGTTGGCTAACGTTAAGTAGCTATTTTGTTAGAACTATCAGCTAGCTAACGCTAGCTAGTGTAGTAATTGTATTTACTGGAGTGACGTTCCGTGACAGTGGTTTCATCTCACAGAGAATGACTGTAGAACAGCATGACCTTAATCATGAGTCATGTATGTTACAAGATTAGGCTTGACCTTAGCCCAAGATGTACTGTTAAGGAGTGTAGGCTAGCGTCTTTGACTTTGGTGAACGAGAGCTAAGCTTGACCTGAACAGTTACTTCTGGTTCAGTTGCTACAGCACAGTTTGAAACTGTCCTGTGTGCTTCCAGTTTCTATTTCAGGCAGTTCCCTGTGCACCGCATATTGTCATTCTCTGCCAATGGGCTGACACCTTGTTGCTGAGATGTTGCTGAAAGACATTCCCCAGGAGGTGCTGATGCGCCCGCTTTCCCGAAATGAAGTAGTGGGCATGATAGTGAGACTGACCATCTTTGGAGCTGCCACCTACTACGGCATCAAATGGGTGGTGGAGGCGATGGACCCTACACATAAACAGAAGATCCAGTCCAAGAAAAGGGTATGCGCACATATTGTTTATGTTTAGATCTGAATCATCTTATAACATATATATTTATTATTGTTTGATTAACCATCAATTGTGTTAAGCAGTAGAGTGATGTCCATCTCCTCCTCCAGGCAGAGCAGCTGATGAAGCAGATTGGAGTGGAGGGTGTCAAACTCACTGAATATGAGATGAACATTGCTTCTCACCTGGTAGATCCACGCAGCATGAGGGTAAGGGAAATCTCCTATAAAGTGTGACAGTTCTTTAAATTGTCATTTTGTGACTTACGAAGTTTGTGGTGTTACATAATTTGTGCTTTGTACAGAAAGTTAGAGGAAAGGGGTCATTTTGCACATTGTGTATAAAGTTGTAAGCCTAAAGATTTCTCTGCTCTTCCTCTGTAGGTGTCCTGGAGGGATATTGCAGGGCTTGATGAGGTCATTTATGAGCTGCAGGACACCGTCATCCTTCCCTTCCAGAAGAGACACCTGCTGGCTGGATCCAAACTCTTTCAGCCTCCTAAAGGTAAACGCTTCAGGGCACATTTCACATCATGTTGTATTTTGCATATTTTTTTCTTCCAAAGTAAATTATTTTGGGTAACACTTTTGGGAATGAAGTGAGTGAGTGATTTGATCCTCTTTCTGTCACCACCTCAGGGGTGTTGTTGTATGGGCCTCCCGGGTGTGGGAAGACTCTTATCGCCAAGGCAACCGCCAAAGCCTCAGGATGCCAGTTCATCAACCTGCAGCCCTCCACTCTGACGGACAAGTGGTACGGCGAATCACAGAAGCTCACCGCTGCTGTCTTCTCTTTGGCTGTCAAGATCCAGCCATGTATCATCTTCATAGATGAAATTGGTGAGTGTGTCGTTACGTATCTCACATGTTTTAAAACTACTTTGTGAACCATTAGTCGGAGCCCTTCACTGTGCTCATTAAATACCCAGTAGTGTAATGCTCTCTTAATTGATATCATTTACTGATTTCTTTAACCTCAACCATTACATAATCATATTTGAGGCAATGTTCACTTTTGGAATCTTCTTTTTCAGACTCCTTCCTGAGGAATCGCTCTAGTCTGGACCATGAGGCCACAGCCATGATGAAGGCCCAGTTTATGAGCCTGTGGGATGGGCTGGAGACTGGGGCAAGCAGCCAGGTACCACCATCAACTCCCATAGTTAGATTTGTCTTATTCGCTCTTATTCGTCATTGAGTATTGGCCGTTGGTTTAATGTCTTTCTTTGCTGTGCTGGTTGTACAGTTAGGTAATGTTGGGGTATTGTTCTTGCAGGTGATGGTGATGGGGGCCACCAATAGACCACAGGATCTGGACCCAGCCATACTGCGCAGGATGCCCACCACCTTTCACGTGGGTTTACCGGTGAGATATACACACACACTTGAACGTGGCCTGAAAATGTCTGTCAGTTCAGTTGTGGATGCACTCTGATAATCAAGCTGTCATGTTAAAACCTGTGTCTCTCATTATGTTATGTACTTCTGTAGACCACAAGACAGAGGGCAGAGATCCTGAAGTTGATCCTGGCAGGAGAAAATGTAAGTTAACACCATCTCCATCCCTTCGTTTCCTCTCAGATATCCAACCAGTTTGAGTCGTTTCACACCTGTCCACTGTTGTGTTGGATTTGAAGGTTAAATGGTAACAAACATCACAAGAAATTACAATGAAATCTGGAATAGTGATGATTTACGGTATCATGCCTGAATAAATGTACTGTATACTAAACCAACACTTTTTCCCTCTCTTCCTCAGCTAAGCAATGCCATTAATCTGAAGGAGATAGCAGAAAAGTCGGAGGGTTCGTCAGGCAGTGACCTCAGGGAGCTGTGTCGTGATGCTGCCATGTACCGTGTTAGAGACTATGTCCGCAAGCAGCAGATGAAACAGATAGCCCAGCAGATGCATGAGGAGGACGAGGAAGACAAGTAACTACCATTTACCGTTACTAACTCAGGCATCAAACTACTGGTCTTTGACCTTTTTACTATGCTGAATGTAGCTATAAGTTACGGTATACTTCATTGTGTTGTGCTTGTGTTTTTCTCTTGTTGAAAGCGAAGTCTTCAGGTCTTAAAAGCTGGTGTTAGTTGAAAATGTTTCATAAAACACCTATGTCTGCATCTATGTTTGACCCCTGACCTCTGACCTTTGTCCCATCCGTCTCCAGAGCAGGGGTGGAGGAGCGTCTGCGGCCCATCACCCAGCTGGACCTGCTGTTCGGCCTGGACAAGATGAAGGAGTCCAAAAAGGCCACCATGCCCCAGGAACTCATACCCCGAGAGGTGCCTCTGGACTAAACCTTTCTTTCAGACACCCTTTACATACGCGTTGTTACTGACCAGTGGCCTACCCTACTGTTTATCCCCCCACACATACACATCTCCCAGTCCTAGCACAGTGGTCCAGAGCAGTCCGAGAGAGATGTCCCTGGACCACAATCTCTCTGTATCCCTTCTCTTATCCCACACCAATACCCTTCAGTATCCAGTTCATTCCTATTGTCTGTCCATGTTACAGATTAATTCCAACCCCCCACACACAGTGTCCCAGAACATTCCCATTGCCCTGAGTCATCATAAAATACTAGAGCCTTAGAAACAGCCTTTGTACATTAAGCTGGGCAGCAGGGCTGTCCACTGTAACGCTCCTGCACAGATGGCACTGGGTGAGAGGGACCGGACAGAGTCTGTCTTTAAAAACTCTGTCATCAATGTTGTTGTTATTATTATTAATATGTGTCACACAAATCTTATAATGAGAAAATGTGAATCTATATTGGTTTTTAATCATGCTACTTCTCTGGAAAATTACTGAATAAGGAATATTACTGTATTTGCACTGTCAATGTTATTTTGGGCAAGCACTAAACCGTGTCGCAAGTGTCTAGTTGTCTGCATGTCTAAGCAATATAATGAAAAACATTAGCTACACAATAGTACTCGTGTTACAGTTAACGAAGACCAAGATTTTGGATGAAAAACCAGACAATTGGGAAAAGTCCCTGGGAGTTGAATCAGTTGGTAAATCTGATATTCTGAATCTACTTTTATTGAATGTTCATCACTGTATTTAATACTGTACTTCTCTAAATATTGGATTGAAACTATTCCTGACTACATTATTCATCTTTACTGACGAAGGTAGACGCCTCATGTCTTCTTTTGTTTTATGTCACAGTAATATGCCCTTCATTGGGCTGCAGTCTTACACAAGCAAACTAATGTTTTTGAAATAATTGTATCCTTTATATAATGTGCAGCTGTGCTTTTGCAAGGTCCATTATGACCAACCTTCAAACATGGGTATTGACCAGCACAGCAGTCTGTCTCAAAATGTCAATCATTCCAGTCTGTCTCCATGGAAACCAGACTGAGTCCTATGGCTAGGCTTTCATCTCTAGTGTGACCCATTGTCTGCTGCTGTTTTCTGTTCTGTCTTTCAAACAAGCATCTGATTTAGACCTGGGAAACCAGGTGAGTGCACCTTATGAGAAATCCATTTACAGGAAAAATAAAAGACAGCAGACACTCTCAGGCCCCTTACTCTCAGAGAACCATTGTTGTCCATTCTTGTCTAACTACAGTCTGGTAGAATGGGACTGTAGTCAGGCGCACAATTCCATTATTTTATTTTGGACAAAGCAGATTTTTCCTTTTGTTTGTCAGAATGTTACAACATGCAACTCTGGAATGTACTTTTCTCAGTCTTGCTCATTAGCCCTCTACTTAACTTTCAGTAATATGAATAGGGAGGCTGCCGCTGACTGAGGATTGGCCAGTCAGAGCGTCCTCTGCAGAGTGACCACAGGGGGGTGCTGTGGCTCCACTACTCTCAGATTGACAGAATGAGTGGCAGGTCTGGGTGTGGAGTCGGACTATTCCCCCAGACAAAACACAGTACTGTACCTTTTGAACTCAACTGTGAGGAGACACATTATACATGGGTCCACAAGTTATATGTGGATCACTGAATATTCCCCCCGTCCCCCATTGTGTATGTAAGTTGTGTGGAACTGGGCAGATGCAGCTGTTTAGAAATGCTTAAGCGGTCCCACACCCTGTGTATTTATTTCCCACTTCCTGCCCCGCTGGCTTTCACTTTATTTTTCTCTGCATAATCTGGTTTGGGGTTTTGATAATGATAATGATCCTCACTGTGTATAAGCCACAGATGGCTGGATGCCGTCCAAAGTCGCCCACTATCTCTTCACTATTCACCCACTATCCCACTACTATTTCCCTTAATTCACCTAATCTGTGGTGCATCAATATCTCTAGAGCACATGTCATTAACTCATCTGATTCATCCCAGGCTTTCCAAAAATGTCCTAGCTTGCGAAGCACTCTGACAGTCATGTTTGCATGCGTTTTCTGTAGGTGCTAATGATAACCATAGTGTTTGGCAAGGCCACTATAGGTCAATAGAGGACTTCTACAAAGCCTGCTAATCTCGTGGGCCCATTTGGGAACAGAAAAGATTTGCCTGGATTTTGTGCTGGATTTAGTCAGATAATTCTGGGTGTATTTTTAAAAGCAAAGGACAGCCCTTCCAAAAAGGAATGTTTTGGCTGACTTGGTTCCCCCGAGGGTAGATGGTGCTACCAAATATGTTATTGCCATAGCGTGGATAAATTGATGCTGGCAGTTGAATTACATTTCTAACATATCTTGTGATACTGTTGATGGGTATGTGTGCCATCTGTTTTTTGACTCCCTACTCATTGATTAGTTATTCATCTTCATAAGAAGCATTAAAATGTGGGTCGAAAAGCAAAGCAAGGCTTCCATGTTCCATCCCAGTTTTCGTCAATTATAGAACTTTATTCATCTCTTGGTAAACAACATGAGAGGCTCTCAACGGAAAGCTTTCAGTTCCATTTGAACATGAATGACTGGAGATCAGAGGCCTGCTGAGAGGGATGTCTCTCAGTCAGTCTGTCGGTGGCTTTTATCACACAACCACTTCTCGTCTCGAACTTCAACATTGTTCCATATCAGCTCTGAGTGGAGACTTTGAAAAGGATCCATACAGACACACCAGCCTGTGCTCCTCATGCTGAGAAAGCAACATTGTCTTGTTGACCTTAAAGGCCCAGTGCAGTCAAAAATGAGAATTTCCATTGTTTTGTATTTCCATACTTTGAGGTTGGAATAATACTGTCAAATTGGGAAAGTGAGGATAATGCCCTTTCAGTGTAAGAGCTGTTTGAAAAGACTGCCTGAAATTTCAGTGTGTTTTATTGGGATGGAGTAAATTAGTTAATAGACCAATAAGAGAGTTCCAAACCTCTCTGCTAATAACAGCTACTTTTTAGTTTTCACCTCCCCACTCAAACCACCCCCAGACAGTCCTAGCAAAATTCGTGCTTGAGAAATTGCTCTTTGCTAAGAAGCATTTTTTGTTTCTTTTTGACCATTTTAATTTAAAACAATCACAGTACGGTACAGAAATGATTTGATATTGAGATCAAAACGGCTGTATTGGACCTTTAACCTTATTCCATTTTAGCTCTTAGAGGAGACAGTGGAAAGGATCCATACTTTACCGCCAGATATACTCCGCAGCCACTCCCATACTGTGGCACTCTGTTCTCTCACGGCATGCCGCCGACATGATCGACCTGAGCCTTGAGTAATCAGCGTCAGCTGTGGTCCTCGCCACAATTCTCAGTAGGATATCCTGTTGGTTTATCGACTCTGGAATTTTTAATGGCGCACATGTTTTGTTTACTCACTACCCCGCTGAGTCATGACGGGTGGGTGGGAGTCCTCCAGTAGGGACCACTTTCATCATCATGTATGTGTTTTATTAGAGGGAAAGTATCATGGCTGACCCAAGCCAGCCACAGGGAGAAAGGGAGCCACACACACACACACTTACTTGATTAATAGCGGCATAGGAAAAGGGTCACAATTCATTTGTATTTGCGTCAGACGACCCAAATAGAAGGCAAACACACAGCAGCATCTAAAGTGATGAATAGACAAGAAAAACGTCAACACAAATCAACTTTGGCTGCGTGTGCTTCTTCGGTATTGGAGGAGGTTTCGCGCCCTTTGTGATTATAATGGATTTCATAGGTTCTGGGAATGGACAGTGGATCTGAACATGAATGGAGTTAAAGTTTACCACAGACAGTAGGTCATGAAAATGAATAAGAGCGTCTGCTAAATGACTAAAATGTAAATGTCTTTCAACTTTACCACATGACATAAAAGTGTTGCAAGTAGTGCAATATCTTCTGACAGTTCTCCGAATCTTAGTCAGAGACAAAAACTTAACTATTTGAGAAGAAGTTCCAGGGCATCACACACACAGAGAAAGCTTTTTATGAGTTTCAGACCTGTCCAGAGCCTAAAGTGGCTTATCCCTCAGCTTGCTAATAAAAAGTATTGTCCTTAAATGACTTTATCCCATTCTTCATCAAGCTTTTCTTCTCTTCTTTCGTCTCCTCTTCACCGAATGGAAGCTATACTTTAAAGAGAGGCCAGTCTATTAGGGCTGGTAATTGAGGCCTGTCTGGATCACTGCAGATGAAAGGTAAAATAGCGTGTGTGGAGGGCGACAGGGCATGTATCAGAGGAGGTGTTGATAAAAGGTCACATCTCCAGACTTGATGTAGGGTCACAAAGGAGAGAATTACACTGCTTCTTCGTAGGCCTGAGTGCTCCTCCAAAATTAAATGATATGCATGGCTACCCAGAGTCCTTGCTCCAGCCAAACGCTACGCCACACCCACGAACGTTAGTTTCTTCTCCGCAATGAGTCTGGATCTGAGTACCTCCCCGACTATTTCTAGAACGCAAACACATTTGAACCGTTCTGATTGGTCCTAGAAACCGATACATTGGGCCAGAGCCAGAACACACGTGGGTAAAGTGGCATTTCGAAAATTCTTCATTGGAGTTGATACTCTTGTTAGAGATGATCCAATCACAGATTATTTTGTTTTGTACAACACCCCTCATTTTGACGTCACCACAAACGACTTCAACGATGGCAGTCTCAGACTGAAGTATGTAGCAAACGATAGAGCTGCGGAAGAATTCAGTTTGAGTCGTCAGGCAAGTAAATTATGCCCTTAGAAAGAAGCAAACTTGTCTTCCCCAATGATATGACACCCCCAATGTTGAAGTCAAACTTTCTGTCAGTCTGTGATTTTGTAAAGAATAAGAACAAAAAGAGTGTGATCTCATCTGTTTCTTTCTTATGGCTGCTATCCACCATCCTCCTGTGCTTCCTTCCTTCCTCTCTGTTCCATGTTTACAATGGCCCTAATGAATCCTATCTGTTTATCAAGCTTGCTGCAGAGCCATAGCCAGCCTGTTATGATGCACTGCCATGTTCCTAAATCATGTGCTCAATTGAGAGGCGGTGGGTGTCACGTTGGCGGCTGTGTTAGCTATGTTAATCAGGCAGAACAAAAGCCCAGCGCCCACTCAGGGAAGCGGAGATGGGATAATGATCACTAATTAATTGTGCACCGGGGTTCGCAGGCCTCCTCTCTCCTCTACCGGCAGGCACACTGAAGACAAATGAGCGGATGATTCACCCTGCACAGCACGGCACAGCAGGAGGAGGCAGAAGGCGTACAAGGGAGGCGACCGCCCAGAGACGTGTGTAACTCCGTCACCAGGGCTGTATTTAGTGATGTGAAACGTTGTGAATGTTGCAGGTATAAATATAAGGAATAGAGCTGACATGATTCCCCTGTTCTATCTGACGGAAAATCATTCAGTAAATTTATATTTGAATGTTCTGTAATGTTCATCCTCCTGAACAACCCCCTGGACATCTTTTGTTTGCCAACCGTTGCCATCCACATGTCTGAGTGGTTGGGAGGGAACGAATGACTGAGCCGTTTTGGGCTGAGATTGACCTGACACGGTTTTGTCTCTACAGTATTGATTAATTATCAATTAAAGTCGCAATCAATTAAATCCAGACATTGTAATTAGCTGTCCAACGAGCAGTTGTGCACGTCCAAACCGTTCTACACGAACGAACAGTTTAATCTAATTACAAAATTATTGACATTTTAAGAATGGATTATTGTGTACTTTTTTCACCAGATGAAGTCTGAAGTGATTGTTAAGTAAAGCATTCTTAGAATCACTTGATGTGTAGTGGATGTATTCACTAATAAATATTCAGTAGTTAAGCACTTGAAAGAGATTCAGTCGAAGGTGCTTTAGACCCAGCTCAGTTGTTTATGACATCCCCTACAAATGGATGTTGAATATGTATGTGTGGCACCATCAATAGCATATGTTCATATTTTATAGGCATGATGCTAATTACTTTACTATTTAGTATAGTGAGATTTGGGGGTAAACAGCTTATTTCCCAGGACAGACACTAATGCAAGTGGTTTTGTGAAGGCAGTATGTGTCTAAGCCAGGCGTACAACACTCAAGTCATTGATGAATGCAGTCCTACTGATTTTTCTTTCTCCCTGGAACTTGATTGATCAATTACGGTCCTTGATTG